GCCCCCATTCTGCCAGTGCCTCTCCAAGCTGTGCCCACAGGCCTTACAGGACTCTGTCTGGGTATGATAGTTCTTTAGGATGCTACGTGGGTGAAAGAAGCTGGCACCTGGTTTCCCTGTGACCTGGTGAGGACTGGTTAGTGGATGTTCAGAGTTTAGAAGGTGGCTGGGCTCCTCTCTCTTTCAGCCCAGAAGATCAGATCTTTTGGCCTCGAAAGTTCCCCTCTGCTCTAGAGAATCCTCTATTCCAAACCAGCTCCCAGCAAGCATTTACCCTCAGGGTCTGAGTTATTTTGGGAGACTCAACATCCAGCACTCAGCCCTAGGGAGGGGAAGAAAAGGACAGACAATTGGGCAGTCTCCACCCCCACCCCACCCCCAAACCCAGACAGAAGACAGACAGCCATTTGCAACTTTAACTCTTTCCTGGCTTTGGCTAAGACCTAAGCATCCACTCAGGAAAGCCTCAGATGGCAGCATGGTGACCATAAATTAATTCAAGAAAAAAATTGTAGTGGGAGAAAATTATGCATGGAAAGTGACTTTTAAAAATTGTCTTTAAATGTTACAGCCAAAGTGAGAGGATGGAAATTGCATCAAAAGAACATTTTTTGTACAGGTTATAAATCACTTTCCAACCATAGGGCTTAAAGTAATATTTCACCTTTTCAGGAACTCCAAAGTTTATTTTGGAGATGAGGAGAATCAGATTAAACTCTTCAGATTTAGTTTTACACACTAGCACAAAGTCATTCACATTAGAACCCAGGTAAGTGAGATCTTGGAGGTTTCAGTGTTTGCTGCCTCTACGCCTTCTTTTTCAGTCCTTCCCTACAGAGCGCAAAGCTCTCATGGCAGAGCTGGTCAGTCTAATATCCAGCCTTGCACAGGACAGGTGCTCAGTGGAAGGAAGGAGAGAGTCTGGAATGATTCTCAAAGGGTGACAAGGGTCCTTTTGCATGTAGAATGTCTGGACTTTCTCAGTGGTGTGCTTTATTAGGGTCTGAGGTGATAACTCATACTTAAGAACGGTGATTTGTGGGATCTCTATTGGATTCGATTCCACACACAGTCACTCAGGGCCTAGCATTTGGCAGGCACTGAGCAAAGCCTGGGGGTGGACAGAAATGAATAATGCACAGCCCCTGCTACCTGCCCTCCAGATGTCTCTCAAGGACAAGACAGTCACATACCCTGGGTACCTGGCATCCCAGAAACAAATAAACCTGACTGTGAGACCCCCAGAGAAAACCTGGTGGTGCTAGTGGGTTTGCATTTAAGTCCTCGATTGCAGAAAAATGCTGCTCTGTTCTTGAACAACACTTGCCTCTTACAAAACAAAGATAGACTCCCTTCTCCATCTCTGACACCCACCTCCTCCAGTCTACATCAGCTCCGGCCTGCCCTGGTCCTGGTTCCTCACAGAAGCAGTGTGACTTGGCCTAACCAACCCTGGAGGTATCCCTGATTTCTTACTGCCCCCAGCCTCGTTGGGACCTGGACTGACCTAATGTACCACCTACCCGTGGTTTCTTTCTGCCACACTTTCCACATCCCCCTTGCCCATGGGCTCCACAGCCTCTTCGGCCGGGCCTTTAGGTTGCCTGACCCAGAACTTTATGCCCTCAGACACTTCTGGCCCACATCTGGCTCTTCCTGGCCTAACTTGTCCTACTGGCAATAAGCTCCAGGTGCCAATGGTAGCCTTCAAGACTGCCGTCAGACTGATAGTTGGGACTGAAAGTTACTGCACCCAGTAGGTTTGCAACCTCCATAACTTATGCTGCAATCACCACAGGACAGGTGGTTCGACCATTAGGATGCATCACTGCAAAGCAATTAGCTGGAAAGCAAATTAGTTGAAAATTTTCTAAGGAAATTTCAAACTGGCTTTCAAACTTCAGCTATAGCAGAATTACCTGGAGACAGGCTTGCTAGGCCACAACCCCCAGTTTCTAATTCTGAAGGTCAGGAAGTCAGAATGACAATTTGTATTTCTAACAGGTTCTCAGGTGAGGCTGATGCTCTGGCCCAGGGACCTCACTTTGAGAATCTCTGCTCTAGTCCAGTGGTTTTCAAGTTTGGCTGCACATTGGACTCACCTAGGGAGATTGTTTTTAAAGATTGATCTGGGGTGCCTGGGTGGCTCAGTCAGTTAGATGTCTGCCTTAGTCTCACGTTGTGATCCTAGAGTCCTGGTATCAAGCCCTGAGTCTAGTTCCCTGCTCAGAGGGGAGTCTATATCCCCTCTTCCTCTGCCGCTCCTGCCCCCACACCACTGGTGCACACACCCTCTCTCTCTCTCTCTCAAATAAATAAATAACCTTAAAAAAAAAGGTTTTATTTATTTATTTATTTACAGCGCTTGCATGAGCGGGGGAGGGGCAGAGGGAGAGGGAGATGGAGAGAATCCCAAGCAGACACCCCGCTGAGCACAGAGCCTGATGCAGGGCTCGATTTCACGACCCTGAGATCATGACCTGAGTCAGAAGTCCAACCAACTGAGCCACCCAGGCACCCCTGGGAGTTGTTTTTTTTGTTTGTTTGTTTTTTAATACAATGCCTGAATCCATCAGAAATTCTGATTTAACTGGTCTGGAATACAGACTGGTCACTGGGTACTGTATAAGTTCTGTAGGTGATTATAATGTTCAGCCAGGCTTAAGAACATCTGCTCTTGTCCATTTCATTAGCAGAGGCTGGGCTAGGGGTTGGAAGCCTTTTTTATCTCCCACATGGACAGATAAATATAGGACACTCAGTTAAATTTGAATTTCAGATAAACAACGAATAATATTTCACTGTAAGTATGTCCCAAATATTGCATGGATGTCCTTTTTTGCTATTGTTTTGTTTTTTCTAGATCTGGCAACCCTATCCTTAGACATTTCCATAACACAGAATGGGAAACAATGATCTGCCAGCTCCTATTTTATAAATAGTAACACCAAGTCACATAGGAAGTCAAAAGAGAGCTGGGATAAGAACTCAGGAGTCTTGACCTCAGTTCAGAGCTCTTTTCCTTCCATCACACTTAACTGTGCTAAAGACACTTGTACCCTTTTCTTGTTAGGGGGTTATTGTCAGTTGCCTGGAGGTGACTTCAAAGGAGTCAGTATGATTAACATCCTCTCTGCTCCTGTGCTAATCCTCACCTCCACCCCCCCTTTCTACTGTTGCAGGTATCACAGAGGTTGTCCTAGGATATGGCCATTCTCAGGGCCATATCTTAATGCCAAATCCCACCTCAGGGAGGAAGTGGACTGGAAGTGGCACTGGTCAGAGACAGCTGTGAGCGAGAGCCCATAATTGGGTAACACAAGGACAGGTGGGATTTGGCACAGGCAAACTACAAGTAAAGCATGTTGGGAGAGGCCCACTTAATTCACAGAGACACTCGGAATTAGTTGTAAATTCTCTGGGAAGAGATCAAGGCAGCGGCATAAACAGTTCAATTAAACTGTCGGCTCAATGCTCAATGTGCGGTAATGGTCAAAACACAGCCTTTAATCTAGATACAAAGGATTATCTTTGGACCCATAATGAGATTCTTAAGATTAGTTGTACCTGAGGTGGAGAGAACAGAGCTGGCTCAGTGATGCACAGACAGCCTCGAACGTCAGCATAACCGGGACTCTTGGGAAAGGCTACCTGGATGCCACAACCTTCCTGGAACCCCCTCCGGATGCTGGGAAGACAGGCATAAACCTCATTCTGCTTCCTCCACATAAGAGAACAGCCTGGGAACAGAACACCAGAACACATCTGCTTCAAAAACTCAGCAAGTCTGCTCTGTTCCCACCTCCAGACCGAAGTTAATACCACTAGCACCAGGTCCAAGGCAGAGATGCCAAGCTTTAGCCCTCTGCCATTCTGTCCTCCATGATTAACCATTCACATTCACTTGTTCATTTGACAAATACTTATCGTGTGCCTATTAGGTGTCAGGCAGTGTGCTGAACATTGGAGATATGCGGTGAACAAAAGCAAAGCTCTCTTTCCCATTGTGGGGCAAGACAATAAACAAGAAAAATAAGTAAGATATGCTGTGCATGAAATGGGTCTGGGTAACATTCAGAAAAATAAAGCTGGGAAGGATAGGAAGTGTTGAGTGGGAACAACAATCCTAGATATGGTGCCCAGGGGAGGCCTCACTGAGCATGTAACATTTAAATACAGACCTGGGGCACCTAGGTGGCTCAGTCGGTTAAATGTCTGACTTCAGATCAGGTCATGATCTCAGGGTCCTGGGATCAAGCCCACGTAGGGTTCCCCGCTCAGCGGGGAGTCTGCTTGTCCCTTTCCCTCTCCCTCTGCCCCTCCCCCTGTGTAAAATCTTAAAAAAAAAAAAAAAAAAGAACAAATACAGACCTGAAGGGAGTGAAGGATGAGCCATGGGGACAGCTGAGGGAAAGAATTCCAGGCAGAGGAAATACAGTGCAAAGGCTCCAAGGCAAGAGTGTTCAAGGAATACCAGGAAGAGGTAGTCTGGCTAGAGCAGGAGAGAGGACAATACAAAATGAAGTTAGGAATTTGAGGAGACTAGGTCATATAAGGCATTGTGGGCCTCTATAAGAATTTTATTTATTATTGGGGCGCCTGGGTGGCTCAGTTGGTTAAGCGACTGCCTTCGGCTCAGGTCATGATCCTGGAGTCCCGGGATCGAGTCCCACATCGGGCTCCCTGCTTGGCAGGGAGTCTGCTTCTCCCTCTGACCCTCCCCTCTCTCATGTGCTCTCTCTCTCTCTCTCTCTCTCTCTCTCTCATTCTTTCTCTCAAATAAATAAAATCTTTAAAAAAAAAGAATTTTATTTTTTATTTATTTATTTATTAGGGACATGGGGATTTAATGGGAGATTTGAGCAGAAAAGGGACAGAATCAGATTGAGTTTTAATAGGATCACTGGCTGCTGTGTTGAGACAAAATCAGGAAAATGGGTAACAGATGCCTGTGATGATCCAGGCAAGAGATAAAGCAGTGTTGGGCTGGCGTGGAAGCAATGGAGGTGGTGAGAAGTGGTAAGATTTTGTTTATTCCTTGCTGAAGGGTTGGATGGAGCAGGAATGAAAGAAGGATGTCAAGGATGACTGAGAGTTTTGCCTCAGATCTTCTTAGAGCACTAATGACTCCCAATCTATGATTCCAGTCCAGATTCCTGCCCTGGGGCCCAGCAAACAGCAGGAGACTAACATTACCATTTGATGACCTGAACTGAAAGAAGTAGAGGAGTCTGTTGGGTTGGTGGCATCATTTCTCCAGGTCTTTATCAATGACATAGCCTACCTCCAGTTACTGGAAGGAGGATGCAGGAAAAAGAGCTGCCATGTCCCCACCTTGGTCTAAAGTGAGAAGTTGAGACAGGGCAGAAACAGAAACAGGGCCATACAGAACCCTTCCAATAAGAAAATCAGGGACAAGTGCCGGGGCAACAGGGGGGTGTGGAGCTAAAAGTAAAAAATGGCAGTGATGGGCATAATGTTGGATTTGTGATATCAAGAGACCAGGTACCAATCCCAGCTGTGCCTCTTGATTTAATCTCTTCCTTTCAGTCATCCATTTTCCCTCTGTGAAGTGGGGTGACTGGCTCTGTGAAAGGACAGTCTGTTCAGCTCTGACTGCCTGTGGTGCTCTGATCCTTTCCCTATAAGTTCCTGTCTTCTTCAACCATTTGACATACTACTTTTCCAATATTGTCTTTAGGAAACTTTTCTGTTTCCTTTCAGAATGATTATTTCTGAATCTGTCTTGTAAGGTGTGTCTCCACTAGTTCCCAGAGGAAAACACCCATGTGTTTTTGCCTGCTTGAAGTAAATACTACCTTAGTCCAGTTACCCCATCTGTAAACTGGGAATAACACCAACTTGCAGGGCTGATGAGTAGGGTTAATAATATACAGAATGTGTTGGGGTTGAGCAGATAGACAAGTGCTCTGGAAGTTCTTGGCATAATACTATAGCATTACAATAATTTTGGCTTGCAAATTATACCCCAGCAGAGGCATCACATGGAAAAGTGGGTCTAACCCCATGGTCTGCTGAAAGTGAAATGGAAAAAATAAGTTGTGAAATATAACTTCTCTTCCTAAACCTTTGGAAAAGGCAGATATAATTCTTCCATGTGCAACCCACATGCAGGGAACAAGTTTCCAGACCCTGGAGAGGACTTCCTTGTCCTGAGTGGCCTGGCCTATGGCCAGTGTCTGGCTGCTCCTCCTTACTGGGCCTACAAGCAGAAATGGGAAGGGAGGGAGCCAGAGAGGATTTGTGGTTGGTTGAGAAATGGGGCTTACAATGAGGATGTACTTGCCTTTTGGGTTTTCTTCTATTTGGGCCTCCCTTACTTGCAGAATAATTGTTTATACAGCAGAGCAGTGATTTAAAGGGTAATTTGAGATATTTAAGTTTAAGGTTACCCAAAATAAACACCTTAGCCCAAGTCAATTTCTGGTTCTTCCACCATTCCCCAGACACATCACACACACACCACACACACACACACACACACACACACACACACTAGATTATTTCCTGAGAAATGCCAAGTAGGTAGATCTCAGGCAATGAAGGGGCTGTGTAGATGGTGTCTGTGACTGTGGGGGTTATAATGGTGGGTTTAAAAAAGTTAACTTGCTCATAGAGGATGACAGTCCTGTCTGACCAAAGGGAAAGAGCAAATGGCTTGATCCTAAAGGGACAATTTGCAGTCAATTCCATTACATCAGTGTGTGTGGCTGAGTGGACGGAACACAACCTTCAGGGAAAGACCCAAGTTGGAGTCTGGGTTCTGTCCCTTCCCCACTGTGGCCTCAGGCAGTGAAGAGGCGACAGCTCTCAGGCAGTTCTTGTCTGGCTCCCAGACTGAGAATGTGACCTCCACCACCAGCGAGGCTAGGGCTGTGTCCCGGCCAAGAGAGCCTCTGGCCTTCTGCCTGCCCTAACAGGTCCCACTTTTCCTACAGGATACGGAAAAAGATAGACTCCCGCCAAAGCCCATCTCTTAAGACAGGTAGCAAGTAGAGATTATTACCGACGTGGGCTATCGTCCTAATAAGTCAGCCTTCCTAGAGAATTCCTGCGACTTCGGGTCTCAGTTCTCACACCTTAGGGTAAAGCATATTCTGGGGCTTGGCGGCCAAACTCAAAGGAGGACCGGCTCTCGTGGCAGTTACCTCTTTTCCAGGCAGCTCTTCCCGCCCCACCGGGAGCCTTGCGCCTCCCAGGAAAAGCTTCACTGGGTAAGCTGCGCCCCTGCCTCGGCCTCAGTTTCCTCAGCTTTGGTCAATAATCAAAGGACGATCTTAAACTGCAAAGTAGAGACTGGTGGAAATGACATCATTTCGGCTCCACCTGACCGGGAAGTGGCAGACCGGCCCACCCGGGGGGCCGGCCCTCCTTTGGGCCTCGGGTCGGCCGTGCGCGGGGTTAAAGCCCCGACTTCCTCAGAGGTGAGAAGGTGAGCCAACGTCCGGCCTCCCCTCAGCCGGGCGCTGAGACTGGTGCCCGGCCAGCCCGCCGCCCCTCCAAGCCGCTTCCGTCATCCGGACTGCTAACACGCTCATTAGCACAGAGACTCCTCCGAAGATCAGGCACGCGGGGGCTGAACCGGAGTCTCTGTCCCTTCAAGAAGGGGATAAAGCACCCTGTCCCGGAGGGGTCCCAGGGCCGCACTTCCTTCGCGCGAGTCACACTGTAAATAGAAATGTCCCGGGATAATTCACCCCCGCGCCCCGCCCCAACAGTGGGTCCCTGAGGTGCACAGCGCGCGGGCACCAGGAGATGCGCACGGGTCTGGCCTCTGCGCGCGGCGGCCTCACGCTAGCAACCTCACGCCCCAGGCGGTGGCGGGCTGCGAGCGAGGCGGGGCCAAGAGGGCCGCCGGACCCCGATGCCCTCAGGCACCACCCCGGGGCTGGCGCCGAGGTGGCCGCGGGTGGTGGCGCGTGCTGAGGTAGAGAGTTGCGCCAGCTGAAGACCCGGGCACGAGGAGGGCGGGGCTTAGGCCGCGGTCTGGCGGCCGGGCTCGTGGGGGGCGGGGGCGGGGCGGGGCCTGCGGGGGCGGGCTGGGGGCGGGGCGCGCGCGCGAGCCCAGGGAGGGCGGGGCCGCGGCGCGGGGCGGGCTCTGGCGGCCCGGGTGTCACACACGCGGCGGTTCGGGAGGCGGCGGCAGCGGCAGCGGCAGCGGCAGGCGCCGCCGGGACGGGCAGGGGCGCGCGGCTCGGGCGGGCGCCGGCTGCCTCCCTCCGTCTCTCGCTCGCTCTCCCTCCTGCTTGCTCGCCGGCTGAAGGGCCGGGCTCTCTCCCAGAGCTCTCGGGAAGGAAGAAGGGGGGCCAAAGACGCCGACAAGTTCCCTCAGCAGCCGCAGATCCCGGCCCAGGCGGAGGCTGCGGCTCAGACGGGGCAGGAGAGCACTCCGCGGCGGAGCGCACGGCCAGAGCGTCTCAGGCGGGGGGCGCCCGGGCCTTTCGCTCTCCGCGGGGCCGCGGTCCGGGATCCCATGAGACGCGCCCGTGAGGGGCGAGAGATCCGAAGCCCGGGCGACGAGAGGCAGAGGCGGAGGGCGGTGTTGCAGCTGCTGGAAGCCCGGATCGGCCGGCAGGAGGCGGCGGAGAGAACTTGAACTTGGCGTCGAGAGCGGGCGCCCCGGACGCCCCCCGCCGGGGCCGGGGCGCCGAGAGACCTGGGCCGCAGCGCTGCTCCCCGAATGGCCGCGGCGGCGGACCGAGCTCCCGCGCCGCGGCCCTAGGCGGCCTCTCGCCATGGCCAAGTGGCTGAACAAGTACTTCAGCTTGGGCAACAGCAAGACCAAGAGCCCCCCGCAGCCGCCGCGGCCGGACTACCGCGAGCAGCGGCGCCGGGGCGACCGGCCCTCACAGCCCCCCCAGGCTGTGCCGCAGGCCCCGGCGGGCGCCTCGGCGTCCTGCGGTCCGGCTGCCGCCTCCTGCTTCTCAACCTCGTCGGGATCGCTGCCCGACGACAGCGGCAGCACCAGCGACCTCATCCGCGCCTACCGCGCACAGAAGGAGCGCGACTTTGAGGACCCCTACAACGGGCCCGGTTCGTCGCTGCGCAAACTGCGCGCCATGTGCCGCCTGGACTACTGCGGCGGCGGCGGGGAGCCGGGCGGGGGCCAGCGCGCCTTCTCAGCCTCATCCGCGTCGGGTGCCGCCGGCTGCTGCTGTGCCTCCTCCGGTGCAGGCGCCGCCGCGTCCTCGTCGTCGTCCTCCGGCTCCCCGCACCTCTACCGCAGCAGTAGCGAGCGGCGGCCAGCCACCCCGGCCGAGGTGCGCTACATCTCGCCGAAGCACCGCCTCATCAAGGTGGAGAGCGCCGCGGGCGGTGCGGTAGATCTCCCGGGGGGTGCCTGCTCGGGCGGCCGCACCTGGAGCCCGACGGCCTGCGGTGGCAAGAAACTGCTCAACAAGTGTGCCCCCTCGGCCGCGGAGGAGAGCGGGGCCGGCAAAAAGGACAAGGTAAGGCACCCCTTGTTCTCACCCCAGGTTCCTGAGCCAGTGTGCGCACGGGGAAACTAAGGCAACGCTCTGATTTCTTCATTAGCTTCGGGCTAGGACCCTGGCGTAAGGGCTCCTACGCCGCTTCCCAGTTCTTCCCTCTCGCGCGGTCTTTCGTCTGGATCCTCGGCCTCTGACACAGACTCTTTTACCTGCTGTTCCTAAAACGTCCTTTCTCTGAGCCCACAGCCAGGTGCCTCCTTCGGAAGTAACCTGACGAGAGCGCCCTACCAACCTTGTCCAAGAAAGACCCAGCCAGCCCTTCCTTCCCCCAAGACCTAAAGTCTGACAGTCAGAGCTGGCAGTGATTTAGATGAGCGTGTTTTGTTTTTTGTTTTCTCCCTCCCACCATGCTGTAGATGGGAAACTGAGGTCCAGAGCTGGGAAGGGACTCGCACGGTATTACACATAATTCTCGGTGGCAGATCCGGACCGGCTGTCTTTAAATGTATATATGTAAATCGCTCTAAAAGCCCTGCCCTGCCCCACCCCTCGCGCCAGGTTTCCAGATCCGAGCGGCCTTTTGTACTGGAGCTGCCCTGGGAACCCCCACGCATGCTTTTCCGGTTAAAATACACTGCCTCCAGGAGCTTTCCACTTCGACAAGTCAGTTCCTCCCGCCGCGCGCACAAGGGGGTCCGCCAGTCCATCAGCTGGAAGGAGACTCACCCCTCCCCCCAATCCTCACCTCTCTTCCTGATCCCACCCCCACCCCATACAGTCCCAGGAATGAGGGAACACTTTGTGACAACCCCCCCAACATATTAGGCCATTTTGATCCCCCTCTTTGAAGCACACCAATTACAGCCAGACTGGGCCCCTCTCTTCCCCCTTCACATTCCCGTCGCACCCTCCCTTCCCCCATAAAATAATACTTGTTCTGTCTACTTATGGTGGAAGGCAGTGTTTTGATTACATCTGAGGCCCAGCGCCCTGTCAGGCTCATGTCCCTCTTGTTCTCCCCATCACCCCCACCTTTTCCCAAAGGTAAACTTTTGCCCGGGCGTGGGCTGGGGAAGACTGATAGTCTGAGCTCCCTTTAGGACTGGATGTCCAGACAGGAGACAGACAGGCTCCTACCTGCCAGCTGGTGCTTGGAAAGGGATGTTTTTGTTTTCTAGGCAGGAGAAGTAAGGGGATGCCCTTCCTTTTAATTTTTCTGACTGGCTTTTTCTCTCTGAGGTCCCACCCAAGAGTATCCCCTCCTCTCTGGATCTGCTAAAGGCAAGGTGGGCAGTCGGTCAGTGGAGGTTCCCACCCTCCCCTGGAGCCAGTTTGGGGGCACACCTTGGAAGCATGGACTCAGGGCTTCCTAGAAGAAGCTGGGAGCCAGGTGGCCACCCAGGTGCTTGCTGCCTTGCAGGAGGGGGAGATTTCTCTAGGAGCCCCCAGGATCTAGGGCTTGTGGTTGATTTGTGAGGGAAACACCAAAGAGGCTTCCTACTGCCTTATATGTGGCTCAGATTTGGCTAGGTGCTGGCTTGGGAGAATCTGAAGTTCCTGGGTATGGTTGGTTTGAACAAGGCCCCGCCTGTGAAGATGGAGAGATTCCCAGCAAATGGTGCTAGACTCCTGGGCCCCCCTTGTTAACTCCACAGCCACCTTCCTGGTGGGCAAATCTTTCCCTCCCACTGCTTTGTAAAGTTTTCTTTTCTGGTTTTCAAAACTTTAGTAGACTTTTTTTTTTCCAATTACAATTAAGACTATTTCAAATACTGAGGGATAATGTCTTAGAGCTAGAATGTCAAGTGTATTTAAGAGTTGGCTTTGTTCATCATCAAGTTTTTTTTTTTAAAGATTTTATTTTTAAGTAATCTCTACACCCAGTGTGGGGCTCAAAACCTACAACCCCAAGATCAAGAGTTGCATGCTCCACTGACTTAGCCAGCCAGGCGCCCCTCACCATCAAGTATTTTTTATGGGTCTTTCCTGTGCCCTCCCCTGCTGGGTGCTGGAGCAGTCCCCTGTGAATTTTGTGGCCCAGTCTGCAGTGTGGATGATGAGTGCTGTGATGGGGGTGCTGTTACAGGAGCGCTGAAGTGGGGGTGGTCAGGGAGGGCTATTACTGTGGGGGAGGGGCAGTGACTATGGTTGGCTCCAGAAAGAAAGCCTGGCTACTTGAGGGGATGCAGATAAAGTGCCTGTGGTTGGCATTGAGAGGTTAGAGTTGTGCAGGACCCCAGGGGAACAGCAGGGCCCAGGTTAGGGAAGACCTTATAAGCTAAGCACAGTGAGGGCCAATGAAGGGATTTATGAGGGTTTTTTTGGGGGGGGGGGGTTTATCTCTCTTGGCTGCATTTCACTTACTGGGTTGTGACTTTGAGCCCTTTGATCTTTTGAGAAATTGTTCTGATCCAGAGACAGGAGTTTCAGCTACCATATGTTCTTTCTAAAGAGGAAGAGGGGAGGCAGCCACAGAGGGTCACACTGTGCAGTGGTTCTCAAACCAGAACTTGGAGGGCTCTTTAAAACCGATTCATCAAGCCTGCTGTGGGTCCTGAGAATGTGCATTTCTAACAAGTTCCTAGGTGATCTTTTGCTGCTGATTCTGCTTATCACACTTTTGAGGGCCATTATGTAAGTGACTTCTCCTTAACCCTCCCCCTGGGTCTTCTGGTTGGAACTGCTTTGGGATGCAGAGACTCCAGATCCCCTCCTCTCTGCCCTCTGTGTGGGGCTATCTCCTCATCTGGGGCCAACACCCACCCCCCATTCCTGGTCAGGCAGTCTGAATGCAGCCTGGTTTTCACATTATTTTCAGCCAGACAGCTTTTGGAAGGCCAGGCATACTGTATAGATCCAGGCCTGAACACCTCGGAGCCTTCCTTCTACCCCTCACCCATGGTTCCAGGAAAACCCACTTCTAGTACCCCACTTAATCTCAGGCCTAGCTTCCTTTTGTCAGTTGTCAGGGATAAGACAAGAACCCATAAGGCTGATGAATGCCTCCCCCACACTCCCACTCTATGTGCCAGGCCCTGTGTTTGTTTTTAACATCAGGCCTGACTTGGGAGTTACTATGGTGTAGTGTAGAAGCTGTTGGTCCACAGATCGTCTTTTCAGTGCCTCCAGTGCCACCTCCCACTATGGTTTATCTTTGGGGGCCCTGCCTCGTGCCTCCCTGTGTCACACTTAGGCATCATTTTATTCTCCCAGTGAGTTCTCTGGTGCACCCCCTCCTCCCAGGCATCCAGGCTTGGGCATTATTCCTTTCAGAATCATGTGAAAGAGGGGGAAGGAATGAAGGTTACAGAAGACTAGTCAGTAATCTCTGGCCTAAGTCTCTGGAGGAGATGCTCACATACTATCTTCATTTGTTTCCCCGGGGTTTTGTCTTGGGGACATTTCGTGAGGTCTTTACCTAGGAGGCTTTGAGGTGGATCTAGAGATGGAAATGGAATTTCAGTGCTGGGGAAGGGGCAGCTACAGCCCGCAGCAGCACTTCTGTGTCAGGGCTCTGTGTACATGTGTGGATGTAAGTTTGCATGCATGTATGTGTGTGGGTATATATGTGTGTACGTGTACATACAGAACTTCAGTATGGAGTCTGTTCTTGGAAACCAGAGCTTTCTTGCAGTGGGCCTCCCTTGGGGAATGAGAGATCACCTCAAATAGGTGGGGGCTGAGTTTGGACCCCACAGGGAGTTCTTGAAACTGGTGAGCCGAGAAAGGGACGGACTCAGAGCCATGATTGAGCTGCCACAATGGGGGTGGGGGATGGGGTCAGAGTTAGGGGACAATTAGAGTCCAGGTGAGAGACCATGAGGACCTGAGCTCCCAGGAAGAGAGAACGAAACTAGTCAGTAGAAATATCATTCCTTCAGGTTATCTTTATAAAAAAGTAACCATGACAGAAGAAGCCAGTAACTTACTTGGTTGGTCTCCCTTTGTGCAGCCGAACAGGTCTCATCCCGTTACGTTTTCTGCTGAAGTCTTGTTTCTTTTATCATAATTGAGTAAATGTTTCCACCACAACTGAGAAAGTCAAGATGCATGGTGACATCAGTTTCCCGAGTTTTAAATACATGCTAATGTGTACCAACACTTTATATTTTGTCAGCATCCACAGGGTTGAGTTAAATAACATGTTTCCTAACGAATAATATCATGTCTAACCTTTTTTTTTTTTAAACATTCAGCAAACATTTTCTGAGCAGCCTGCTAGACAGGGG